GTACAGCAGGTATTATTTGTTGCAAGAGTGGTGATCTCTCTTCCCTTTTTAGTATTATAGTGCCATATACACATATGGCACTATAATACTAAAAAGGGAAGAGAGATCACCACTCTTGCAACAAATAATACCAATCACTGCTCTTTATAGAGAATTCCTTATATTTTTATAGATGGTGCCTTTCCAGAGAGACTGCAGTCTCTGCAGCTGTATATGAAGAAGAAAATATTCCTTCTATGCTGGAAGGAATGGTGCAGATGAGGCATGGGAGAAAATTCAAACTGGTAGACTTAAGAGTTTACTGACATTCTGGAACTGTGCTGTAATTTTTTTTTAAGGTGTCCATTTAGATGGATGAAACCATTGCTATAGACCCACAGCAATCACTGTGTGAACACAGGACTACAAGGGTCACTGCAAGTCCTGGAGCTCCTTCCTCATGAAAATGAAAAGATGAAACTGGAGAATTGTCCTTTTGTATTTGTTTTCATTGACCTAATGGAAATTCCTTGTTAATGATTAAAGGAAATAAAACATGGGTTGATGATTTAAAGGATGGCAATGACATCAGGCTGTCTTATACAATTAGTGCTAGGAATCAATATGAAGATATGTGGCAGTAAGCAGGGAAGATAAACTACTTTTTAAAGTCATTGCAAGATGCTGAGATAGTAAACTTTTGTCTGATCAGAATGCTGTTGCCATCATTGATCAATTACATTTAGTTATTAAGAGGGAGGAAGAAACCCCTTTTTCTGTATACCTTTTTGCCAATATCATGTATAATTTCATAACTCCTTATAATATCTCCTCCTCCTTCTCCTGGGTGGGATAACCAAAATGGCCAACCATCTGGGAGGATGGATCCAGGTAACTAGATCTTGGGGGCTTCACCTGCATATGTGCCCATATGGATATATACATACACACATAGTTACATATGCAAGCATACATCTATCATACTCCTCTTTCCTCACACATACCCTTCTTCCTGTTCTGGAGAGCATCTTTTCTTATGGCTCAAAATCACTGATTTCTTTCTCCATTTTGAGCCCTTTTCCCTGGGAGGAAAGAGGAAGCAATGAGGCTTTCATTCCCTAGTCCCACCCCCAACAATCAGAAGCAAATTGCTGTATTTTTGCTGCCATTAAAAGCAGAAACAGCATTATTTTGACTGCTGAAAGCACCTATTTAGCAGCACTTTGGCACACTTCCAAAACTCAGTGCTGCAGCTCAATTTCAGATACAAGACAGTGCAAGACTCCGGGGTACATGCAGTTCAAGGGCCAAAGGTTGCCCATCCCTGCATTAAGCAGAGTAAAAAGAATTGATTACTTGAAGTATTCCTAATTTCCAGCCTTGGGTCCACAAGACTACCTATTTGCTTTTACACTGGTGGGGGAATGTTGTAATGGTGTCCTCTTCCTATTACCTATAATAACTTATGGTGGCATTCTGAGGTCCAATGTTCCTGCTTCTCTAGTTTCCTCAGTCCAAGAAGGATGATAGAGCAGCCTTTCAGAGTTATCCTCCACCCACCCCACCTCTGCTTTAAGTCTCTGAAGCAAAGCAAGCGGTAGAAGCGATTCAGCCAGGACTGGACTCCAAGAATCAAGTCTAAACCCATCAGTGCTCCAAGTTCTCCAATGACCCTGCCAGAAAAGCTGTTGATGGAGCAGCAGAGGCAGATCCAACTGAGGGAGCCTGGGACTGATGCAGCTGGCTGACATATGTCCATTTAACCATTTCCACTGGAGTTGAGAGCAGTTCCTATTGATGTGAACATCTGCTTTGCTCCCCTTCCCCTCCCCGTGCCTTGCAACTCCCCAGTTGCTCTGAAGAACAGCTTTTCTGCTTCCTCCCAAAGGGGCCATTCTCCCTCCCCCACGAAAAATAAATGTAGAGGGAGGAACGGTGGGGCGTGGGGAGAATTACTGTGGGCTGCTATCTCTTGCACTCTTGTTAGCCAGCTGAAGGGAGTGCTGCCAGGCATATGGGAGGACGGAGCACAGCACTTGGGACACCAGCATGGTGGTGCTGAACCTGCTGAGGGACAAGGCTATGTGAGGCAGGCCTTGGTGTTCTTTGCATATAGTGAGATGAGGGGAAAGAAGCCATTTTTTAAGTTCCCTTCTACACTTAGAATATTTTCCCATTCAAAAATCAGAGGTCAAAATCAGCAGCTTGTAGGGATAGTGATGATGGCACCCCACTCATACCATGGAGGTGCGCACACACACACACACACACCATTCTGATTTTGATCTAGGATTGAATCCTGATAGCGATCATGTCGTTAAATAGACATTTAAAAATAGAATAAAAGCTATTCAGAGCTTTATTTAGCAGGAACTTGCCCCCAGATTGAAACATCCTGGATCCGAAAGCTGCTTTTTGGGTGGGAGGGAAGGTGAGCGGGGATTTCTCTTTCTCTCCTCCAGCTGTGCCAGTCTTGCGCAAAGAAGCCTGGCGCTGGTCCCGTCCCGTCCCGTCCCGTCCCGTCCCGCAATT